CCCCCCGATTTCGTCTACAGCAAATTCGTCGGCTTATTTCATCGTCGCTCCAATGTTCGAATTCTTCTTTGTGATGTTCTAGTATCATGAGTGATGGAAAGAGGCTATCGCAGGCGCTGCAACTGTAAGAGAAAGAGCAGAGTTTTAAATAAAAGCATTGCATACATTTCTTTGGCATGTGCTTTATTAACTTTGATATGAAAGGCAATGTAATAAAGAAAAATGAATTTAAATGAAAGCTAAATGATTGGATTGTGGCTACATATGTATATATTTTAATTAATTTACAACAATAATAAATGAAGAAAATAGCTTTCATTTCATAATAAAAAGTATAGCTTGACCGCTGCTTACAATTTAAGGTTTATTTCTTTAACAGTTTATCCTTTACTTTTGCTGTTTTTATTAAACGTTGGTCTGTGCAGAAAATGCCAAAATTGTCGAAAAAAATTTCAATATTTATAGGTTGACCGAAAAATTCTCGTAAAGGTATACATGAAAATGACTCCACAATTCACATAAATATAGTTAGGTGGTTCAAAAGTTGTCGTATTGTTGTATGTCGTAAAGTTTTTAACGGCTAAATAAATGTTAAAACTACTCGAAACCACAACCAATTATTTTTTGATGGTGGGAAATTTTGCCCTTTGAAGTTTACATCATACAATAATACGACAGTATACAACACCTTGGGTACTGCCTTAGAATAACTTGTTATAAAAGTCGAGCAAAGACGATGTACACATTATATTATATTTTCTTTTGCTGGAAACTGCTTCTACAGAATGTCTGTTAATCGTTCAGTTAAGTAGATTGAATTTTTCGATTATCTCTGAAAATATGGCATTTGTATTATTTTTCATTTGGAAGTTGCATATTAGGTTGTAATATTGTGCTATAAAGAGCCTTTTTAATTACGCTCCTAAATATCACTAATCTCATAATACTGTTTAGGCGCGACTGCTAACACCAGGCGCCTAAATGCATGCTATATACAGCTGCATGTTCAAAAATCTCCCACATTCAATAAATTAAATTTTTGCGCAGGTACTTCTCTACCCTTATAAGAAGACATTCTATGATCAGAGCCTTATACAACCTTTATAAAACCAATTGTTCTTCCAACTTAGAATTTTTTATTAACCGGGTCCGAATTATCTGGGCGCCCATCCACCGGAACGAAAGTTATAATTTCTTGGTAACATACATTAATTAAACCCTTCACTAAAAACTCAGTGCTACATCAGTGTAAATAAACCTTAAAATTAGAACAAAGGCAAAATAAGCTCAACGCTAATTACTTATTTTGCAATTATGTAAGCGGTGGTAAGTGGTAGCGACAACGAAAATATTTAGACTTATGGTCTGATTATGCATGCTTCGCATAACTTCGCACAACTGCGCATAAACTTCAAGCAGTAATTTTGTATGTACTTTGTATGTATTCCAGTACCCAGAAATTATTTAGCAGAACTTTTAAAAACTTAGCGATCTATTGAGTTTAGATTTTGCTTCACATTTTCTTAAGTTGCATTTCTATTGCGCTGGTATAAATGATTGTGCGAAGTTATGCGAAGTATGCATAATCAGACCTTTATACTAAACAGACAATTCGGAACGCTCTGTAGCTGCGGTCTGTCTGATGGTGTTGAAGGCGCTCATTAGTCTACATATGTATGTGTGTAATGTGTTGGGCTTCTTCAATTAACGAGTTCAGCTGATAGCTTCTTGCTCCTGCTGATGACAATGCTAATGAGCGCAATGATAATGAACTTGATGGGACAAAAATAAATGGAAAATGTGCTGCTTCCTCTTAATACTCATTTGTGTGAGTGAATAGAAAATGAAAGTTGCCGCATTCGTTAATTCATCTCGTAATTAATTCAGCTTTTGGATTAGTTACTCTCATTATGCTTGCATATCTAACTTACATATTCAATTTTGCTTGTATGCATGCGTATGTATTTGAGTATTACGAGCGATTTGTTTATGAGCTGATTAATTTGCAACGTACTACATAAATAGTGTAATGAGATAAAGAGATATTTGAACTTTACTAAAACTCTTGGTGTAAATAGCTGGTTTTCTGGGAAGTTTAGTCTCATTTAACTATGTGTGACATTTTTTTCAGCAATTTTTAATGCTTAACTAAAAAATTAAAAAAAAATTAAAAAAGAGTGCAAGAAATAAATAAAATAAAGTGTATATTATAAACAATATAAAAAGTTCTTTGTTATAGTTAACTTAAAAAACAAAAGCATAACTATAACTTCAAACTTTCATCAAAAAATAAAAACTTGCTTCCGCCAAAAGCGCCCCAAACACTTCAAAACTGTTTTATATATTATATATATTTTTTCTTAATTTGAGATGGTCTGGACACCAGGCGCCTATTTAAGTTTGAAGGACAATGGGTATTGAAATGTTTTGTAAAAGGCTCTACTCTTAGGCTGTGCCTCTAATAATGATAACAGATTGGGGACGGATTGGATACGAAAAAATACTTTAGTTTTGAAGTTATATATACAAATACATACCTCTATACATTTTTCTGTATAGATTAATTACTCCTCCCCTTTTCGAGTTCGGTTTCCTCTCAAAAGGATCATGAATATTACCTATCCATACGATTTCAAATTTTAGTAGATATAATAATAATAATAATAGATTGGCGCTTACACATATGTTAGTGTTTGGCCGAGCTTCTCCTCCGATTTGTGGCGTGCGCCTTAATGTTGTCACACAAAGCGGAGGGACCTACAGTTTTACGCCGACTCCGAACGGCGATTGTATTTTTATGAGAAGCTGTTTTTCATGGCAGAAATACACTCGGAGGTTTGCCATTGCCCGCCGAGGGACGACCGCTGTTAAGAAAAAACTTTTTTCTATTTTTTTGCGATGTTACTTTGACCAGGGTTTGAACCCAGGCGTTGCGGAGTGGAAGCGCGCACTGCTTACCACTACACCACAGCGGCACAGATATAATGGGCTAGATAAATAAAAACTAAGCAATTGCGTTGTCTGCAAGGGCGGGCGGAAAGGCAAACTTCACTCAATAGTTTTTTTTCTTCTTCATCCTAAATATTTTGGTACACATTTATATGTCCATAGCTGCGCTAACGTATCCCGAGTTTGTTAGGCCACGTGTTTCAAAAGTTACTCATACGCCCCGAAGTCTACAATGGCAATGCACAGCGGTGGCTGCTGTGAGTAATCTAAATTTCTTCATTATTACAATGTTCTTTCATAAAAGGAGCTGATGGGTTGTCACTTAATTTCAAAGTATATGGAATTTTACATTACAATATAGTGAGTGAAAAATGGCTAAGAAATAATAATAAACATAATTATGCACATTCATTTGTTTACTTGGAACATATTTATATATCTACAAAAAAGCTTCATTATACTGCAATATTCATATTTGCTTTTATGTATAAACAAATGCCTATTTATGCAAATTCATGCATTATTATGTCCGTATTTATGAGGACAAAACCGCAAAATTGGTGTAAGATGAAACGCTGCTCATTGCTTTCGGCTATTTATTCTGCAAATATTACTCATAAAGCAAAATTTAATTTCTATGTGATTTTTTCGCCTTTCTTTGCTCTCTTTATCAGCACATTTTTCGTCATTACATACAATTTCAGTATTAAAATAGCGCCAGTTTACGATGTAATAAATTTCATTCCATCAACGTGCCTAATTTGCGTAAATTACTGAAATCGTCTCTGAATATATCACAGCCAAAGGCCTAAAACCTTGTACATATATGCGAAAATTGGACTTAAGTACCTAAAGGGAGGCCGACATCGCATTCTTTTCAAGGAGATGGGAACATTAAAAATAATACTGTAGAAAAAATCTCAAGTTTTAAAATGGCACAAAAAAAGCCGAAGCATATAAACTTACATACGTATGTACATTTATATCAATTACTCACAATAAATATATCACGATTTTGATTATTTTTCATTTTATTGCAACTAGCTAATCTGAAATTACCAGAAGTTTTCATTTGACACCTCAACTCTCAAAAAATGTATATTTTCAAAAAAATTAAAAACTAAAAATTATCAAAAAATATGAAAATTGTAGTTCAAGTATGAACAGAAGCGATACCGATAATCCGAAAATTTTACCATTCTGCTAATTCCTGATATCTTACCACTGACAATTGATTTTGTGCCGTGCGGCAGCGGCCAAATTAAAAATAAATATATTCTCGACGAATTTCGTTAGATGAACTTCGTTGCCGCTTTGGTTGTGTGTAATCTCATATACCGCAGTTTGTTTTAATTTCGGCAGCGAACTTTCTTCGCACGAAGTTTGCTCAGCGATTTCATTCACTTTTTGAATGTTAAATAAAAATGTGCAATAACTTTTTTTTATGAAAAGGGAGCAGGAAGTAATGTTACTCATACGCCATATCGTACATAGCTGTACTCGGCGAATATGGAGAAAGTTTAATTTATTTCTTTTATTCATAATGGAAACTTTAAATGAAAAAATATATTGGGAAAATGATCTTATCTTCCAAAACGTAATACGTATTTCCGTAATATACGATCCAACATAAAGTTTACGTGTCTCGGCATTTTTTTGTCACTTTTTTGTCATCGCAACAGTGTATTTTGGAGTACTGATCAGCGTAGCTTGGCTGCCACTGCAGACCACCTAAACCCATTTGAACCATTATTTTTCATAAATAAATTTTAAGCTTAAGATTTTACGGCGGTTCACACGTCTTGCGAATCCCCTAATTGATATTTTCACTTTCTTCGGTACAGATATAAAACGTGTTCAGGTTAAGGATTCAAAAATGAACTGCCAAATACCATACCAAAGAAGAAAGCGCTTTGCTTACCTCTATACAATTTGCTCGACGTCTTAGCGCCGACTTACTACCGCTGTTCAAAGCATTAAAAGTTACCTCAGTGCATAGTCCAAACGCATGCAGCAGAGCTTTCTGACAAGATTTCACAAGATGTGGGTATATCTATTTAGATTTTGTGCTGTTTTAGTCAACCAACCAACTTAGTCTCTGCCAGTAACGCCAATGTGTAGAAGGGAACTTCTTTATAAATATTATGTGAAACATAAGGTAAATTGAATACACAAAATGGTGTATTCTTAACTTCTGATGCGTCCACTGTATCCGAACTGGCATCCGTTAAAAAATTGCAGGATCAAATTGAATACCGCCGCAATTTTTGAAAATTTGGCCAAACCTCGTCGATGAGTTGCTGCATTCACTCATTAGCACGGCATAGTTACTGCTTACCATTCGAGTGCACCGAAGTTGATGGATTGTGATAACTCGGGCGTGGCAACTGCAGCGTCAAAGATCATTGCAAATTTAATTTTAGATCGCTTGGCAGAAGATCTAAATTCAATTCCGAGCAGTGCGGCAATTAAGAGCAGAGGAGCTCTTCTCAAACGAGTTAGCGACAATTTCCGGATTGCTATCGCACGATGTCAACGGCGGAAATTAATTCTTCTTCATAAAGGAAAGTTTTCTGAGACTTTCGTAGTTCTTTTGGAAATTGGGGTTGAAGCCACTCATCGACTGCGGACTTTGCTGATATATGTCCAGGTCATTGCAGCACATTGACTACGGTGGCAACATATGTATAACGCGCGTCGCTTTCTGGCACAGAGAAGCTAGGGTGCCAGGCCTGAGAATCAACTTTCGTAATACCAAAGTTCTAAGTGTGCCAGCGAAGTCTTGTGGTGACGAGTGGCCCTCCGGCCACACTCTAGAGACTTTTAGGAATTTCACATGCCCTGCCAGTTGCGCCCGGTGGCGGTACAGACGAATATATTGACCGCCGAATTAGTAAAGCCAGAGTGACGTTTGATGTGATGAACACGGTGTGACGAAAGAACAAGTCCAATGTGACTTCGAGACTGCCGTATAAGAGTTCATCTCTAGCAGAGACTAGATATATGTATTTATATGTATCGTCTAGTATGTAGCCTTCATGATTGTTATATATATTGTATGTATATGTATATTGTTATGTTTGGCCAAGCTTTTCCTTAGATTTGTGGCGTGCGCCTTGTTGTTGGAACACACATGGGGGACTACAGTTTTACGACGACTCCGAACGGCGATTATATTTTTATGAGAACCTGCTTTTTCATGGCAGAAATATAATAGGAGGTTTGCCTTTGCCAGCCCAGGGGCGACCGCTGTTAAGAAAAATCCTTTTTTCTATATTTGCGAAGCTCCTTTGACCAGTGCTTGAACCCAGGCCCTGCGCAGTGGTGCGCATACTGCTAACCACTACACCACAGCGGCCGGCCTCTATGTAGTTATGTATATCAATTAGGGAAGTATCAGAGTTATTCACCTAATTCAATTAACCCTCAATGCCCGAACTAACTCTTCCATTTGAAAATTTATAATAAAGAAGTTAAAACATAGAGATGTTTTCTTTTCCTCTTTTGTTCATAAACATAAAAGACAAAATACAAAACAATTTATTCGCCTTCAGTAGCCTAAGTATGTAATTGTATTTCATAGGTATACTCACCCGAAATGACGCTTTTTCTGCTGATGCGATGCCAATTGCCTATGACAATGGAAAGCTCTATCACAAACATTGCATGTCAGAGATTCATCTGCGAATACACAAAAAAGAAACTAGGTAAAAAAATGTACAATCAATAAAAGAGAAGGTCTTGCATGAATACATAAATACTTATGTTCGCAATCTCTACATTTTTTTAAACGGCTTCAAAAAAAGAGGAGGTTGTCAATTCGTCTGAATATTTTTTTATGTATGTTACCGCATAACCGATTTCTATAATACTTTTTTTAAAGGAAAGGTGTTACCTCAAGGATGGTCCTGTACTAAGTTTGTTTAGATCCCATCATTGGACGTTAAAGAAATTAACGATAATCTTAAATTTTTATATGGGAATTGAAGTCGGTTTTGTTTTTGCTTTAAAATTACTTGCAGACTAGTAGTTAATTAAAGGCTTTTTTCTAAAATTCAAGATCTTCTGCGAAGGTTTGCAACGGAAATTCACAGCAATTACAGCAGACTATAAAGTATTTCTGGTAATTAAAAAAAACAACATTGTCTTATTTAATTATTTTGAGCCACTTTCTCAAATCAGATTGATTCCTATCTTCGATTCATTTATTCTATTAAAATAATCGTCCGTTCAACCAATGCCCTAGTACTTAACTACCTTCATTATTATTTATGACTAATATTCTATATGTATGTAAATCTGCTTTGCTCTTTGGTACTCACCATAATCATCATCATCTGACATCGCCATCGCCTGCAAGCGGTTAATAGTATTCTCGTTGACTACTTTTTGCCTTTGCGTCGCCGATGAATTCGATTTAGAGGCAGCACCAACATCACCTCTGCATAGACCTGTCATAACATCTAAATCACACACCACGCCACCATTTACGAAATTTCCCTGACAATCGGGCAGTGTGCAGGAAATCATTTTGGCATCAAGAGCAGCTACACTCCCACCATCACCACCACATCCTTCTCCATCTCTGTCGTCGGCCTGACCATGTGAACATGTGGCACTGCCATTAC